ATTCCTGGGTTACTGCATTATTTTTAATTTAGCCAAGTTACAGAATGTGTGCCTATATACCACAGCTGCTAATTTAACAGTTATTTATGAGGTATCGAGAATATGTGTTTGTCACTGGCAATGAAGTGCATAATCTGAAATGGTAACGTACAAGAGGGAAGGTTCTAGTGCAACCACCTATACACTGGAAAATGAGTGGTGGGACTACCTGTGAGACCTCCTGTTTCAATCTGTTACGAAAATGAGGACGTCTGTCTTCAGATTTGAAGGCATCAGTATGAGCAATATAAGGCCCCTCTAGACTTACATGAGTAATAACAGCCTGTAGGTCATTCTGTTCTGGCCAAGTTTCAGGATGCTCCAGCCTTGACTTGGGTACACCTTACACACTCGCTTTGCTCCCTGGTCTAGAAGAAAAGCCGATGAACTAACCTGAATTTACAGTTATTTGGCCCATATGAAGGGAGTTCCAGCTGGTTTTGAACAGCTCTTGGGTCCTTTTGCTCTGTTCATTGGAGCACAGAATCGTAATCTGTCTCATTTACTTTTATCTTTACGCAGACTCTCCTTATAAGTTTAATTTTACTGCCATTGAAGTCAACAAGAACAGCCTTGACTCCTGCTGGAATTTAGCCAGGCCGTAATCATTTCTAGCCAGGTCTCATTGTAATACTCACTTCAAATGGGGATGATTTCCAGCATATGAGAACTCACTGGTACTTTTCTTGCAGCTACACCAACAAAGCTGATTGCAGAGTCTAACACTCCCTTGCCAAGAACACCGAGCACACAGCAGGATTTGTCCGTGCACAGACTCACTCAGCCTACTGCTCTTCAGGTAACTTCACAGAGTCATCACAGTGGGCAGATGATATAAAACATGTGCCACATAAGCAGCTTTGCAATTAAAAAAGACTTACGCAAAAGTCATGGCATTAGAAGAAACCTAAAATTTAAAGGAGCCAAACTTATAAAGTTTTGTTTTCTTCTGTTTTAACCTAGGTTTCTTTGCCTTCTCAGCCTCCATGTGAGCTTCTCTCACAGCAATTGCTGCCTCAAGTAACTCTGCAAAATCAGCCTGCACCTCTGGCACAGGTTAGTTGGGGATTTGAAAGTGGAATGGGTTGTTTGCTTATCTCCTGATATTTTCTCCTTTTGGGGCTTTTAGGTTACCCCTTTAGTAGCTAAAATCCCCAAATCCACCAGCTCTCAAACACTTAAAATATTGTGGGGAAGTAACCTGAATCGTACACTTGTGCGTTTAAACATGTATCTGCACACAAGCAATCACAGCAGAAGCCTGTAGGTTCAGGTGCGCACACACATCTATTTCACAGGAGGACAAAAAACAGATGGAAAAAGAGTTTTCAACTTTGCTTCTACAGAATCAGGTCCCATCAAAATGAAAGTCACAATGAGAATTAAACCCAAAAACTAACAGAGACACTCAGTCCTCCTAAAAACATCTATTTGGCTGTGCTGCGGCAGAACTAACCAGCAGTAAAGGACATGCAAGTTCAACAAAACCCATTTTGTGAGTGTGCCAGTAATGGTGAGGATGCTGCTGGAGACAAATTCCTCCAGTGAAATCTATTAACCTGTATCTCAAAAGCAGGTGATGGCCCAAAAAGCCACCTGAATGTTTCATTTGCGGTGGATTTTGAAGGAGGAAATTTGAGTACCATGTTCCCATCACACTGTTTCTCTCCTGTGGTCATGCTGTGATGATACACCCCATCATCCTCTGATTTTAGAAATGATAGACTATTCCTGGACGTAGGCTTGGTACCCTGTACTCCCTCACAAGACCCCAGAGTTTCTCCTGGTAGCGTATAAAACATACAAAGTCCTTAGGATCCCTGCTTTAAAATAACAAATTCTCATTTATCTTCTATGTTTAACATTCCTTTCACAACTCCACACCAGCATGCGGTGAAGAAACAGCATATCAATTATCTGCTCTGAGCATTCATTTTCTTTTACAGATATTCCTCTCCATTATTCATTAATGCACTTCCAAACATCAATTAGTTTGTTTATTATAAACCCACACATGTTTTGTTTGACTTTTTTCTACTTCCCTTTCTTCTCCATCAAAGCTCTTTGAGAAGAGATGCTTTCCAGTTGTTTACCTAGAGCCTTGCTGCCTCACCCCTTCCCAGTAAAATGCTCTTATTGGCATGCCAGCTCCATTTCTTTTCTGCCAAATAGGAGCACTGTCCAGTCGCACGGCCACTGGTTAAACCTCTTTGGGCCAGCTAAATCTTGGTGAATGGAAGAGGGCTGACCTGAGTCTGTCAACACAGGCAGCCCTCTGGCAGCCCTCTTCTCGACTGGCAGCAAAGTCATAGCAATGCTCCTGGCAGAGCTCAAGATGGAACTTGATGGGGAGCAGGGAAATAACACCAGGACGTTGCAGTTCAGGTTGCTGATGCTCACAATTCATAGCAATACTCCAAAGACTCGGGTGATTTTCATAAACTATTAAGAAAATTATGAAACTATTCTATATTTCCCACCTTAAAATAATAAACATGTCAGCCTACAGCAAGATAATTGGTTATTTAAAAGACAAGGTGCCTGCAGCACTAAGCAAGTGAGAGACAAAACCCAAGTACACATACTTCCCACCATGAGCCTTTCCTTGGATTCCTAGTTGACCATTTCACAGCAGTTTAGCAGCAGAACACAAACTCATCACTTTTAGAGATAGCGTGGCCGGGTGCCCCGCTGCCAGCCCACGAGGAGGAGTTGCACAGGTTCCCCGCTGCCTTTCTGCCACTCGTCCTCAGCTGAAGGTGACCGATGGCAGGAGCCGAAAGGCAGCGTGCCGAGCCTGGCCATGCAGGACCCGGGCATCCTTGCGGCTAAGATTCAGCTACAGTGCGGCAGGCAGGGGAAAGGACATTTTAAGTGGCCACGATTGCATCTGCAGCGAGCAGCTAGCTGCCACCTCGGGCACCATCTGCTTGAACTTTGATTAGTTTTATTTCAAGCAAAGGCTGTGATGGTTTTGTCTCCGTCGAAATGCAGTTTTAGCTTCTGCCTTGCTTGTCTGAATGAACAGACAGCACAGTACTAGATGTCACCTGAATGTAAATGGTTTACTTTAAACCAAGTTCTCCGTATTAGAATATTTGTTTGTTTGCCTTCCTCATTGTAATGAATTAAAATCCCCTACAACACAGCGGATGTTGATGACTGAATAATAATTAGCACTAATAATCCGTTTGGGATTGTGCAGGTGTTAGTCAGAAGACAGAAAGAATGAACAAGTTGTTCGGTGAGCTGCAAAACTAATAAAACCCGGTTTCCCAGGGGCTGCGCCGTGCAAGGCTGCTGCACAGACCCAGCCTTTCCCGCAGGAGGAAGGGACCAGTGGATCCCTCTCTCCTTTGCTCAGCTAAAGCTTTCATGAAATTACAGCAACCTAGTATTTTTGACTCTCACAACTCTGTCGCACATCTCTAGCATTGGCCAGAAGGACTGAAAGTTGGAAGGTAGGCAGAAAAGAAAGGTTTAAAGGAAACTGAGCGAAAAAATAAACAGGGTCTCTTTTCTTTACCCGGCCACCTGTCGTCACGAAAGTTGTAAGAACAGAATGTCTTTGAGGTGTCCCATCTTTTTGCTCATCACATCTGAAATGGGAGGCCATCCTGACAGGCACAGGGGCCATACGTCCCCTCCCCTGGCTGCAGCCCCCCAGCACCCAGAGAGAGGGAGTAACCCTGGCACCCTGGGGTGGCACCCAGTGGAGAGGAACACCCTTCCTCGGGCATGGTCCGGCTAACCTCTTTCAGATGTCCATGCTGCCGGAGAGGAGTCACAGCCCAGAAATGCCTGTCCCTCTCCCGGGGCTGTACAGCCTGCCTGGACCGTCAGCGCCAGTGCATCGAGCCTGTCCCTACCAGAATATCTTCATCTTTTCTTTTTTTTTTTTTTTTTTTTAAGAAACCAGACTAAAATTACTGCTGTGGGTTTTTTTTTTGTCTGCATTAACAAACCTTGATTAAAGTGGTGTAATTATAGCTATTTCACAGGTTTAGTCTTCCATGTTTGACTGTATCTGGAAAGCTGACACTTCTCTGTGTATAACATGCACTTTTCTGAGCATCCTAGAGACACTTGTGAATACCTAAATGAGACAAAGAGCAACTTCATGTGATGCCAACGGCAGAGTTAAAGCTGTGCAGTGTTTTCTGTGGAACATTATGAGTTAAGCTCTTTTAATTTACTATACAATTACAGATTTCTCTCCTAATTAGTAGAGCCATTAATGATCTTGAGATAAATACTCTCTGGTGCAGGTCAATTGCTGTTAGTGTCTCATTGTACAGAAACAATAGAAGCTCTGTAATCACAGGGGTCATGGCTCGAGTTATCAACAAATTTAGGGGTTAGAGTGAGAAAGGGAATGTCCTGGTTTGGCTAAAACAGGATAGTTTCTCTTTTCAGTAGATTTTCCTTCAGTTAAGTTTCTTCTAAGTAACTTCACTTTCTGAATCTGGCTACATGTTTTTCAGATGGTGTCTGCTTTCAGAATTGCTAACGCTCAATGTTTATAATTGTTACTAAAGTAACAGTAGGATTGGTATGCAGAAAGGCCCATGTTTATACTTATTTTTGTGGGAACCAAGGTCACTGCTGGCTTTCTTATGGTGCACAAGTGAAAAGGCGTAAAAGGGTCACACCTGCAGGAAAGTGTGGAGGGGACAGGTGACCAAAACCTGACCCACGAGGTATTCCATCCCATCCACATCACACTCAGTATAAAGCTAAGGGATCACGGGGGTCGGCCCTCCTTTGATGGCCGGCATCTCTGTGGGACCCTGCTCTTCCTCCTGCCTCCGATCCCGATCCATGTATTCCTGAATCCGGTTCCTGTCGGCTGCAGAGTCCAGTCTAGGACATCCGGGTGCCCGCCCTGCCATGGCAGCGGTGCGAGCCGCCTTGACAGAAATTCTGTGATCGTCATTGGGAAGCTCAGTATTGGTTTTGTATATTTTTATCTCTATTATTAGTAGTATTAGTATTAATATTCTTACACTCTTTGTTATTGCTTTCTTAAAGTAGTTTTAATTTTCCAACCCATAAGTCTCTCTCCCTTTTCTCCTTTCCTTTGCCTTCCAGGGAAGGAAGGGGTGAACAGAGAGCATCTGCCATCGGCTTTAAGTGCCGGCCCAGCCTTAAATGGTGACAGGGAAAAAGGCAAAAGAGAAAGTTTCTTGTCTTCTTCAGTAATGGCTTTCACTCTAGTATACCAGCTAACTGTTGTTAAGTGTATTAATGCAAAAAGCACATGAAAAAGAGAACAAAAAGACAATACTAGATGAAAATGCTATATATAAGAAGATGCTGAAAAAAAATTAAGGAATAATAATTTAAAATCAACAGCAATATATTTGAATGCCACTTTGCAAAGCAAATTCAAATTCAAAACTAAGGCCTGGAAATGGATTTTGTTTCCTATTGAAGCACAAAATTATTATAAAATTAACTGCTCTAAAATCCCTTACGTTTATTAATTGAAGAAAATCGGGTACTTTCATGTATTTAACTGGTTTAAGGCAAATTGGCTAGCTCATACAAATCTGACCTGTCACATTTAGATTTCTCTAAGTAGCCAGAAATTTCATTTAACTGTACAGTGTTGTTAGTGCCAGAGCACTCCTTAATTCCTTTCGTGTTACCATTTTTGTTTTCCGATTAAAAGCCAGGAATGATGTAAGCCATCGCACCTCCACGGAGCAGGAA